CCTCAGGTATCAGAGCCCTGCAATGTTTTGGTTTTTCTTTTTTCTCTCACCCTATCTGTGGGAGCGCAATTTGCAATTTTGGTGCCTTTCAGAAGAAATGGCACAGTCAATAGTTGGTGACGTTGAGGCACCAGTGTCATTTTCTGATGTGCTAAATTCTGTGGCATCCTTGTGCAAGCACATTGATTAAATGTGATGGCCACTCTTAAATAGTGGGCTCGGTGCGATAGGAGTCAGTCACCATTTTGGTGGTTTTTAAGCTGTGAATTACACAGAATGCAGAGAAGTGACACAAGCAGAATTAATACTCACTATGTAACTTCATCCCTGCTCATAACAACTTTGCAAACTTTTCAAATGCTGCCCAGCGAGCACAGGTTTTCAAATGCTTCGAATATGTCAGGCTGGGTTCTCTTTTGCAGCGTAACAGCATTTTTTTTATTTTTCCTGCGATGCTGCAAAATGCCTTTCCATTATTTAATTAGCTTAATAAGAGGCATCTATGTATAGAATTTGGCAAATGAAATTTCTGAAGACTGTGGATGGTAAAATGTATTTTTTCCCAAAGTACTTGCTTATTGTGGATTATTTACATCATTGCTGTGGCTTAGTCTAGTTACTAAGGTACTAACTTTTGGGTTTGATCTGGTACTTCCCAGTTGCTGTCCTTGTGATTTTCAAGGGACATCCATCTATTCCATACCTGTGTTTTAAAAGCTAAAAGTAACGTGTATTGGTCCCTGCAGCTACAAAATGATAATCCTTCTGAGCATGAACTTGCCTGCCTGCCCTGCTGAGGAAGGGTAGCTACCACCAGAGGTGAGAAGGAAGGCAAGCAACCTCTCTTCAGAGCAATGCAGCTGTCCCTAAGATGAAGTGACCATTCAGGTAGCAAAACAATTTCATTTATAGAGGATTACCTTCATGAGAACGAATGTCCAGCTGCTCTCATGCAAGTGCCACAGCTTACTTTCCTCCAGGCAGTTTCCTTTTTCACTGTTCGATGCTTCATCTCTACCTGTTCTTCAGAACATTTTCTTTCCTTTGAATCATCCACCTCCCCCCTGGTGAAGCTTACATAGACTTACTGCCACTATGTAAAGGAGAAATTTAAGCAGACAGACATTTTTTTTGGGCACAACCACGGGACCACACAGCCTCTTCCAAGTCCACTGTACGTGCGCTTTTCCCTTGAATCCCTAGGCTGACAGAGTCATATTCTAGGAGGATTTAAAAGTGTGTTTTGATCCAGGTGCTTTTCAGAGTTCTTTGAAGTCCTAGGCTGTCCATTTGAAAGCAAAATATTTGAGTATCCTTAGGACTCAGGGTTCAAACAATTTCTGGCTTGAATATATTAAAAATTATAAATGAAACCTGGCTTTTTTCTTGGTTTTTTTTTTTTTCCCCTCTCATATGGAAAGGTATGTTCTCTTTTGTTTGAGATCATACGATTTTTCATTTTTTTTCCAGTTAATGCATTGTTTTCATGTGTTTCCGTCTGCTCACTTGTATTTAAATCATCCTTCTATTTACAGTTGAGCGGGATGACAAAAATAACTGTGGTCTCATAGTGAATCAGTGGAATTTTCCTGCATTTCTCCCCTGATGACTCGGCTGACTCCTAGAGAGCCTAAATGCTTTTGCATTTTTGCTTGCAAGAATGAGGTGGTTTCCCTCCTGCATTCCTGTATTTTTCCCTATCTGTAAGTCTCACTGGGATTTGGGTTTGTTTGCTACACAAACAGTAGCTACAGCGTTGCGTATCAGGTCATAGATCACTGCCTGAAATTATGGTTGCTGCATGCCGTATTGAGGGTGGGTTAAAAAAAAACCCACGGCCTCGTGACGGCTGATTTAAATGTGCATGTTTGGGGGAAAGGGGTTCCAGATCTCCTTGGGGGATTGCATTGCCAGTTGTGTTTGGTTATTGCTTTTGTAGCTGTTAGTTTCTTCTTTTTCTTTAATGAAGAAATAGTATTTTTTTTATGCTGGCCCTCTTTTCCTTCTCTCTTTTTTGGCACAGGAAGGCAATCGTTGCTTGTTAACGTTGAAGAGTGGTGGTGGTTTTTAAAAACTCGCATTGTCTCCAACTACTGCAGTTTTGTATCCTCAGATAAAATACCTATTCTGCGAGGAGTCATAAAGATATGCTGTAACAGCTCATCCTCCCATCCCCCCCTTCTCCTTCAGTTATCAACAGTGCGTCAGTGGAAATTTCCACCCTTAGCTAATGTGAGAGAAAGCATAAAGTTGCAAAGCAGCCTTTGGAGAAGAAAAAAAAAACCAACCTATTGCCGTTTTAGGAACACGATGAAAAGCAGCATACGACTTGCAAGCAGAAATGAAATTAAATTCTCGAGAAATGGTGGGACTAAAATGGTGCAGTAAAGAGCACGGTTTGCAATACGAACGAATGCTCTTGCTAAGGGAAGGGGGCATGAAGGTGGTGATGCATCACCAGCTAGAATTTCTCCCCCCATCCTCCTTTCTGTTAGTTGCAACTGTGAGAGGATTTGGAAGGCTTCTTCCCAAGGAGAAGAGTTAAGTGTCATCTGTTAAATTTACCAGTGGCTACTAATGGCTTTAACAGAAAACATGGCTTTCCTTTTTTAAGGGGTGTGCGTCCTTCTGATGTGGCTGTGCGGTATTTCTAACGAATTGCCCAAGCTTAAAAATTGTTTCTCTCTTTAAACTTTTAACCAGGTGGCATCTCTTAGTTCTGGAGATCAGAAAATGGTAGGCAGTTCAGTTTTCTGTATATATTGAGCCTAATCCTGTTCCCCATTGAAGCCTGTGAGGATTTGCGAGGAGGACTGAGCCCACCAGAGTTTCTCCAGATCCGTCTTGGGGCAAGTTATTCCTGTAGCTCTTGATAGCCCTGCTGCAGTCAGAGGAGCAGCACCTTCGCTGACGTGACGTGGCACTGGTCCCTTGGCTTCAGTGATGCTTGCCCGCAGCCCGCACCAGCTGGGCATCTCCTCTGGAGGACTCGTTGCTTTAGTACAGGCTGCAGGGAGATTCTTTTTTCCATCAGACCCCTCGCTTAGGAGAATTCAGTGCTTCAGACTGCTCTTTCTGAAAAAGACTTCAGAGCCGAATTGTGGCTGTGAAAGTTTTCAGGATTAGGATGTCTGGCTAAGGAGAAGTTTCTTCGCTGTGTTTTCCACAGGTAGATTCCACCCCTGTGCAGTAATCCAGCACATGCTGCTTGAGTCATTTCTGGCCTGACGGGTCTGCTCTGTGTGTAATATTTTTGATGTAACACGTTTAGTTGGATAAAACTGAACTCCACGCAGCGTGAAGATCATGAGTGCGCCTGTTGTTCGTGACCCCATCCTCCTGTATTTCCTGTTCAGACTCAGAGTTCCGCTTCTGGTCCTGGGGACTTTACCGTTCAAGATTACCTTTATGAAGGTGGTCTGTGAAGTGTGATCCTCACGCTGTAGTTGACTTCGTAAGAATCCATACCTCTCGCAGAACAAATTCCTCTCCGTTAGGTACGGTTTTTTTCAAATCAAGCTGGAATGCTTGATCCTGCTTGGGTAATGTGACTTCACTTAAGGGGGATATCACTTTCAGGGGGAGGTGTGCTTGAGTGGACTAGGAGGAAAGGGCAACTTTAATAATGGGATGCATAAATGTTAAAATGAAACAGCTAGGTGGGAAGTGCTGTGCTGTGCATTTAGCCTTTAAGTTACTGCTCTTCAGTAGGATTTCTGAGGCAGTTGCTGTGTCTTTTTACTATACTATAGTTAGTGCCATGCCAAATGCAGACAAAGTGATTAAACAGTGTTCTGGTTACAGCTCCATTGACAATGCCGGTTCATTCACAGCATTTCAAGGGAGGAGGGATGGCCGGTGACATGGCTCAATCATTTTTTTTGCGTTAGTATGATGGCTGGCACTAGGTCGCTCACAACTTGCAGGAACAATAGGCATAATGTTGCTAATGAATCTAAGGTATGTCTCATGGTAAGAGACGGGATCTGAATTTGCATATCTGAGATTTAAGTTAACGCGCAGTGTGTAGCTGTGTCCCTTGTCTCTAACGGGGCTCATGAAGTGCAGTAGATATCTCTTTGCTTGTTTGGGTGTACTGGAGTTTAAAAGCCTCTCACAAAATTATAGGTGACCTCATGAAGAAGGCTCAGTTCTTCAGCAAAGGAGTTTATTGCAGAAGTGACCTCAGTGACCTAAGATATTAATGGGGAGCAATGTTCTCCTTCCCATAGGTAGGCGGTCGGCTTTTTCTTTGCAGATGTCAAAGATAGCTGTGTGGTGGACACGAAGTGCTTACCCGGAGCAGTGCGTTTTATACGTGCTGTGCATGTGTGGAAATAAGACCTTTCCAGTCCCACCAAGGTCAGCGCTACAGTGTGCTTGTCAAGTGCCGACTGCGCACGTGGGCGTTGACCAGACACAGCTTCAGCTTCCACCCTCGAATTGAAAATTTAAGACATGTTCTCATCAGAGATTTGCCTAATTTGGGATAAGTCCCTCTCCTTGGGTTTCTTCTGCAGTTTTGTTTTCGTTTCCGTTCAGCTCCAAAGCAGAACTTTAAAGGAATGAATGTGCCTGTATGTATCTAAGCTTGAGATGTTTCACACTGGCATCTGTTCCCCAGAGAAACAATGCTGTGAATTCAAAGAAGGAGAATGCATGTTGTAACTGAAATCCATGTGCTACCCTACCCTTTTTTTAAGACTGTTCAAATCAAGGTGTGGAAATGAATGAAATAGGTACAAGAAGAGTAAGGTCTCTTTAATCTCCTTGGGTAAGCAGTGCTGTACAACAAAGAAAAGTTCAGGCTGAGCCTGCTTCAACTGAACTTTCCTTATTTGAAATCAAGATAATACTGAGCTTTTGTTTAAAACAATTCTGGTACCGAGATGTAAGAAAAAAGTAGAAAGTTTCGTTTAAGAAATCCCACAGAACAGTTACTTGAATTGAAGTCATTGCAGTACAGGTATATTTTATTGTGTGTATGTTTCTCATTGCAGGTATTTTTTGATAGACTTAGAGGGCCCACCTTCGATTGTATCGACCATGATGGATCATTTAGGACGTGATATTGATGTAATTAGACGTGCTTTTATAAAGCATCCTGTATCAAAGACAGAAGAATGCAGTGGCATAATCCCAGTCAACTATGAAGATAAACTAATTGCCAAGAAGAAGTGACTATTCCAAATAGCATGTTTGAAACTTTTAAAAAAATTTTTTATTCCTGCTTTGGAAAACAATTGTGGTAACTAATGTCCATCAAAAATAATGAGTTTTGGCCATGTTATGTGTGTGGTATAGTACACTATCTTAAGGTACTGTAATATTTGAGGCTTCTTTTTGTTTAAAATAATCTGAATAGACTTAATTTGTATGCTTGTCTTGATATTTGACAACTCTGAAAATTGATTTCCTTTCCTCTTGGAGCATTGCATTGATAATGAAGATTTATCCATCATCAGAATGCTAAAAATAATATTCTTTTCTAAAGACAGATTACTTCAGAACATATATATTTGCATAAGAGACTAAGAACTCTACAGTGTAAATATAGCAGTATAGGATGTGATTTGTTGGAGGGGGTTTTTTTGCTTGTTTTTAGAAAAAGGTAATAAAAGTGTGATTAAAAATAAAACTTGACTCATTTTTTAAAAGCAGAAAAGGTACAAGAAAAAATAACTTACACTGCCAAAAGACACGTCATACTTCTTGCTTTAAGGTAGTAACTGTTCAAAGTACAGGTAAAAAACTATTCTCTATGGAAAAGGCCGGAAACTTCCAGGTTAGAGAAGAACCATGCTTACATATGAACAGAAGGATAAAAGATGCTTTGTTTTGTGATCAGCTAGAGCCAGGTGGATGTTTCAAACGGAGAAAAATGTCAGAACAAAGGTCTTAACGTGTATTTTGTGTTTCTTTTGCTCTTGTAAAAACAGGAGAAAGAGCAATGCGTGCGAAAAATGGCACTAGTGTAGTACGACCTCCTGCAGATCTGACATAGATTCAGTAGCTTCCAGAGGATCTCCGTGTTTCCCCTGTGCTACTGAAGGAATGCACTGGCCATGCCTCCCAACTCAGGAGTGCGTACGTGTAATTTCTGTTGGAAAAAAAAAGTAAGCTGACACAGATACGTTGTTAGGCAAGGAGGATGGATGTTCTTTACCTGAATAAGCTTCATCTAGAAGCTGCCTCCCCTGGCACTTCAGCGTTGTGCGTTTCCAAAGGGAAGGCCGGTCTGGAGGCCAAGGTCAGATTCCAAGAGACCTGTGACAAACCGCTCTCTAGCGTGCTATTTCATTACGAGTTTGTCTGTTCTCTTTTGTGGAGGTAGCTGGGTCATTTTCGGGGGGGGAATGCTGCTTTTTTTTTTTTTTTTTTTAAATACAGAACTTCAGGAGAGAAAGAAACAAGCTTTTCTTCTGAGTATCTTCTTTTTTAAGGAAAAAGTGAATTAGAAAAATGAAAGAGGAAAAAGAAAAAAAAATTACTTTGGAGGCATGAACGTGTGTCGTTGTGGTTTTAGTGGTACAACACCCCTCCCACCCCCCCACACCTCCATGGTTTTTCTGTTTTGAAATCTGCTTTTCACTGTAAGAGCGCAAACTCACATTTTGTCTCTTCCTCCCTGGAAAAAATACTGGGAGAACAGAGAGAATGTGCTACACACTTACTGAGGCCGGATCTATATTAGGTGTCCTCTTTTTTTTGTAGTTTCTGCCAGTTTCGATCATGTGGTTGCTATGTGCACCGGTGCCTGCTCCAGGCAGAGTTTTTCTTATCAATGATTTTTGTGTGTAGGACAGGCCTGCCTTCCGCATGGGTGTGAGCTTAGCCAGGAGGAGCCGTAGGCTTGTAAGTCTGTGCTATGGGTTTGGCTGCCTGAGCTGCCCGTGCTCTTGAGCTGCTGATGATGCAGCGTAGAGAGTGCAAACTACAAGTAGGGAAATACAGAATGCTTTAGAGAATGTGTTTTACTCAAAAGTTTCTCAGAAGCTTTTCTTCAACATAAAGTGAACAGAAAGCCTATAGTTTAAAGTTACTTTGCCTCTGGCCAGGACTTTGGGCCTTAGATTTGGGCCTAGAATAGAAAGGAGAATATATAAGCTTTCAACTTCACAAAATGAAGATGGTCAACAGGCTGTACACATACAAATGTTGTGGGTTTGTCTTTATTCGATTTCCTTTAGCGTAGTATTAAATTTTGCATTTAATTTGTTCCAATTTCTAGGTTGATGGCTGCATTTAGTAGGAAAATCCTAGACGCTCATTAGAGAGGAGCCCATCAGCTTCTTGTTAAATATGTGACGTTACTTGTTGCGAATTAGTCAGTCAGACTAATTGTTGTGACTTTGGTCAGTCAGACATTTGTGCCCCTCTTTTCTGGGGGACCCATTTCTGATCTTAACAGAAGATTGATGGATGTCAAGAGCAGAAGACGGGCTCCTGAGTCCAGCTCATCGCAAGAGCAGATCAGCAGCAGCACATCTCTCGGAGCCTCAGCTGATCCCAAAAAAATACAGTAGTGTTGGCTCTGAGGGAAAGTGGTCTCCAGTAGGCCACAAAACAAGGCGTAAGGAGATGTTACCAAGCCTGTTTTCCTGTCTTCTGAAGTACTGGATGTGCAAAGGGGAGTGACTGAAAGTCATCATTGCCTTTGGGATAGAAACACTGACCACTGAAACCAGTGGCCACAAGCAGAGCCGCGCTTGCCGGGCTGGTGCGTCGTCACATAAGCACTGGTGCTTTCTCAGCAGCAGGATTTATTTATAAAATGTCTTCCGAATAGCTGGCTCTCAACTGGATGTACTATTTTCTTCATAATTGATGGTTTCTAATACGAACATAATTTTTTTTTTTTTTTTAATAGGGGGTGGGGTGGGGGAGGCTAAGGAAAGAGTCTTCGGTTGCAATTTGTTTAGCCCAGTCAGCCACCCAGACTGGTAGTTAGCTATTTTGGGAAGCTAATGCATAACAGTGTGCGCCTTCTCTCTCGATAGCTGTAAACGCAGGAATGGACGCTGGAGTTTTTCTTCAACATAAAGTGAACAGAAAGCCTATAGTTTAAAGTTACTTTGCCTCTGGCCAGGACTTTGGGCCTTAGATTTGGGCCTAGAATAGAAAGGAGAATATATAAGCTTTCAACTTCACAAAATGAAGATGGTCAACAGGCTGTACACATACAAATGTTGTGGGTTTGTCTTTATTCGATTTCCTTTAGCGTAGTATTAAATTTTGCATTTAATTTGTTCCAATTTCTAGGTTGATGGCTGCATTTAGTAGGAAAATCCTAGACGCTCATTAGAGAGGAGCCCATCAGCTTCTTGTTAAATATGTGACGTTACTTGTTGCGAATTAGTCAGTCAGACTAATTGTTGTGACTTTGGTCAGTCAGACATTTGTGCCCCTCTTTTCTGGGGGACCCATTTCTGATCTTAACAGAAGATTGATGGATGTCAAGAGCAGAAGACGGGCTCCTGAGTCCAGCTCATCGCAAGAGCAGATCAGCAGCAGCACATCTCTCGGAGCCTCAGCTGATCCCAAAAAAATACAGTAGTGTTGGCTCTGAGGGAAAGTGGTCTCCAGTAGGCCACAAAACAAGGCGTAAGGAGATGTTACCAAGCCTGTTTTCCTGTCTTCTGAAGTACTGGATGTGCAAAGGGGAGTGACTGAAAGTCATCATTGCCTTTGGGATAGAAACACTGACCACTGAAACCAGTGGCCACAAGCAGAGCCGCGCTTGCCGGGCTGGTGCGTCGTTACATAAGCACTGGTGCTTTCTCAGCAGCAGGATTTATTTATAAAATGTCTTCCGAATAGCTGGCTCTCAACTGGATGTACTATTTTCTTCATAATTGATGGTTTCTAATACGAACATAATTTTTTGGGAGGCTAAGGAAAGAGTCTTCGGTTGCAATTTGTTTAGCCCAGTCAGCCACCCAGACTGGTAGTTAGCTATTTTGGGAAGCTAATGCATAACAGTGTGCGCCTTCTCTCTCGATAGCTGTAAACGCAGGAATGGACGCTGGAGTCTATCAGAAGATGTGAGCAGTTCTGGGTTTAAGCAAATAGTCTGAGTTATGCTGTGGAAGAAAGCAAGTAACTGTACCTGAACGGTCATAAATTCTCCCTGCAGAGGAAGGGAAACCTCAGCGCGGCTTTCAGTTGTGTTCGCCTTTTTGATCGTCGATAGCCGGTTTGTCCCACTGGGCTGTAAGCAATGCTTGATCTCCAAGGACAAAATTTCAGGATGCTATGTGGTGTCGCTGGAAAGCCAGAAGAGCCTGTGCAGCCAAACCATGGCCAAATACCTAAAATGTCAAACTCCGTTGGCATTCCCAAAGGCCTAAACAATTTGAATACCAGTACTTTAAATTTTGTTTACTAAAGAATCCGATAGTGAAGCTCTTCAACCCCTCCTTAGATTATGTTCCCAAGTGTATAAAATAAGTAGGTTTATGCTCCTAGATACTCTGTTTTTCTTGTTTGTGGATTGCGGAGAAACACTGAGTTGGGTAAGTATTAAAATAACAACTGGCAATTTTCCTGGCTCAGGAATGTTTTCTCCCTCTTAACCTTCAGCAAACAAACGAGCACAAGCGGTTTTATGGTGAAGATTTTAGGTATGCCTTCAATCACTCCTTTTTCCTGATCTTCTCTCTCTCTCAGCTGAATCTTGCACTCTGTGGAGGTTTCTTCAGCAGACTGAGGGCTCTGCACCGTCAAAGCCCTCGGCACTCTGCTTACAAAGTACTCAGGTGGCCACTGGCTTGACCCCAGGAGGTTTGTGCATACCGTGATTTGCTCCCACGGACCCAGCCCCAGTGCATCTTCCGTACCTCTGACTAGTCTGTCAGAATCCCGCTTGCTGATTGAGTAAGCTTAAAGAATTTCAGAGTCTGCAGAATATTTCTGTCACTAAGTGTTTTAATGGCGTTCTGAAATCAGTTCTTTCAACTGGAGTTCTGCTTAGGAGGAAACTGTTGGAGCTGCAGGCTGAGCCGGGTACAACAAACACGCAGGGGTGGATTGCTTTGGAAATCATCCGAGGAGCAGTTAGAATGGCAACAGCCGACGTGACTCATGGGCCCCTACTGTTGAATCTAGGCTTTGATTGCTGAGACACGTCACCTGTCACTTAATGAGACCAGTTTCTGTTTAGTAAGTTGCTACGCTCTGTTACGAAGGAAGACTTTGAAATTTAAAGCAGTCCTGTTGGAGCTTTAGAAATTCCTCTTAAGACATGACCACGTTACGTCTGCTCAGAGAGGCTCCTTGGATCTGTCCAGTATTTTGAATTTGTAACATGCGATCAGGGGCTTAAAAATCATAAATACTGTTTAAAATGTGAGGTGCTTTTCATTGGCCTTTTAGATTTTATGATTCACTTTTTTCAAACTTTGTTGCTGGCATGATTTTCACGTAACATCTGACTGAAGAGCTCTTGGAAAAACACAAGCTATAGCAAATGAGATGCTTGATAAATTCATTGGGACTGGTGCTATGTCCCTCCACCCACTGAAACAGAACAAGGGAAACTAGAAAGGGAATCATTATTGCATCCTTTTCTAGAATTCTGAGGTTCAGATAGGATAAAAGTGCGA